GCTCTCCCCACCCTTCACCCCCTCCTTCACCTTATACACTGTGGCCCCCTTTCCTCTGTACAGGCTCAGCAGGATGCAGGGGCTGCTTGTGCTGGTGTGGCCACATGACCTGTCCCAGCCAGCCAGAGCCCTCCCTTAGGGCGCTGGACTGAGTTTATCCCTACCCTGGCTGGGATGCAGCCGTGCACCAGGCCCTTCTGTCACAGGAGAATACAGAGTAGACAGGCCCAAAGGCCAGCACGAGAAACAGGGGCGACTGTGCTAAGGCTCCTGTCCCAGGTCATGTCGTTCTTGCAGCCAGCTGCACCCTAAAACTAGGTGTCACCATGCAACTGTTAGGGTGGCTGAAGTGAGAGAGACTGGCCATGCCAGGTGTGGGCAAGACTGGGGGAACCACAACTCTTGTGTACTGCTGACAAGAGTGTGAAATAATGCAGCCACTTTGCAAGAGCGTTTGACAGCTTCTTAGAAAGTTCAACATATACCTACCACATGGTCCAACTGTTCTATTCCTAGGTGTTTACCAACAGGAAATGAAAGCACATGTCCCCACAATTACGCACACATGTTCATAGCAGCTTTATTCATCATAACTCCAAACTGGAAACCATCCAGATGTTCTTCAGTGGATGAATGGAAACAAAGTGTGATTTATTCATAGGATGGAATTCTGCTTCATGATGAGAAGAAATGACCTGTTGATACACTCAGCAACATGGACACATCTTTAGGAAATACTGCATAAAAGCAGCCAGATTAAAAAAGAATAGATACCACATGATTTCATTTATATGAACTTGTAGAAAGTCCTGGATGTGGGTGGAGCGGGAGGGAAGATGGCAGGGGACAGGGCTGTGTGGGTGGCAGTGTGTGCACTTCCAAGGGCTGCTGTCCTGGTTTCCCAGTGTGTGTGTGGCAAAGCCTATTTGTTGTAGACTTCAGTGTGTACAGTTTATTAATTGACTACAGCTTTAAAAGGCATGAAACATGTCACATACACAAGGATAAAAGCAGATCGGTCTGTGTGGCTGCTGGGTACCTGTCCCCTCCCCGGGGCAGTCTGAGTTCTTCCGTGTGCCTCGGGCTTTAGCTTCAGTTCTCAGGTTCCTAGGAGCAGCCCCGAGGCAGAGCCTACCTGCCGTGTGCATTGGGAAGAGCCAGGAGGGGAAAGAGGCCACTGGGCGTCTCCCAAGAGCTGACCTGACGCTGGGCCCTTCCCTGAAGGCATCTGTACCTTGGGTCCTTTGCCCTGGCCGCCATGCCAGCCGCCCTGAGCTGGGTGGGTCTCTCAGTCCCACAGGCCTGCCCCACATCCACCCTCTGTCCTGTCTCACGGGCATCATCTTCGTGGCACTTTCACTCTGTTCACCTTGATCTTATTTGTTGAGTGGCCATCCCCACTGTGGGTGCCGGGACTGCCCCCTGCCTGGGAGCTTGGCTCCAGGACCGTGTAGCTGGAATTGGAGGGGGGGGGTTGTTAACAGGGACAACCCCTGGAGATGGTGCCATGATGTGATAGGGCTGTGAGGAGGGTGTCAACTTGGACGAAACTCAGAGAACAGGAAGCCAGGGAGAGGCTTTCAAGAGGGTAGGAGTCTGTGTGCTGGTTGGAGGGTTACTGGCCCCTGAGATGGGGGGTGGGCAGGAGCCTGGGACCTGGTGGGCCGGAGGGGTGGGAAGGGCTCAGATTCCACGTCCCGGCTGCTGGCGAGCAGCTAGGATTAGTAGGGGTGGGACAGGGTGGGCTGAAGTTGCGTTAGTCGTACTTCTCACGTGTGGGCATCTTTTAGGACCTGGTGCCCCAGGAGTCCAGGGTGTGGGCATGTTCTGAGCTGGGGCACATCTGCATGGTGTCCTTACACAGTGGCATTTAAACCTCCGCCTGGACAGGCTCCCTGTGGAAGTGAGGGGGGCCCGGTACCACTGGGTGGCCAGGCCTGTCTCTCCTCTCCACCCATTAAAGAAATTAAAAATGTATTCAATCCCTAGCCCTGAGGAGCACAGAGGAAGGGGCCTCCACACAGATCTGCCAGTTTCCAGAGCAGCAGGTAACTTGGGGTGAGCTCTTCATGCTGCGGAGCTGCAGGTCCGATTTGGCCTTGGATGCCTGTGACCAGAGAATGGGCCACTTGAACCCCGTAGCCCACGAGCTGCCCCATGGACAGACAGTGGCCGGTCATCGCCAGCTGGGGGGACTGGGCTGAGCAGGGAGGGTTCCAAGGCCCAGGGTCCTGAGTCACAGTGACCTCCACCCCTCCCCAGGGCTGCCCTTGCTCCAGCCACTCCGCTGTGTGCCTGCTGGCCCGTGTGACTGATGGCTGCTGACAGCCTGGAACCCACAAGCATCCCTGGCAGGAGCTGACCCACTTTCTCCTCCCTGCGTTGGAAGCATTTATGTAATAGACAGCCGCAGGGCCCTGCTGTCCCTGATGGAGAGAGGCAGTGTTTTAATTAGAAAGGAAGCGCAGAGCGCTGGGCTGGCCGCAGTGTGATCCAGTATTTTGGTGCCGGAGAATCAGCCCGGCAGACAGAAGGGCTGTGCCAGGCTCATTGCAGTGTCTGTTTAGGCGCCGTGGTGGTCACTTGGTGCCATGCCAGGCATTTAAAATAGATGTCCTCTCCTTTCTGAGTTCTTAGAGCCAAACGTACGGAAGTGGCTGTGTAAGCTACACCGCCCACCAGAGCTCTCTGTGGGGACAGAAACGGTCTCTGTGCTTTTCCAGATGGCAGCAGCTGCCACGTGAGGCTATTTGTTTAGCTCGAAAAACGTGCCTGGTCACGTTTGAGTTTTAAATGTAAATAGCCACACACGTAGCTAGTGGCCACCAAGCTGGGTAGTGGGGAGAGAGAACATTAGTATGTGAGGATTGTTTCTAAAACATTGTTTGCTATATAATATTCTTGTTAAATACTATGTTAAAATTGTTGTTATTCACAAAGTGTCATTTCATTACAAATAGTAATGAGAACTAGGAATCTGAGTTTGTTGATGAAGTGACCTATAAACACAGTTCTAAAATTGTGGGTGTATGATAGCGTGTTGTTTTTTTTCCGTGCATCAGTTGCCAGTGAGTACATGTGGGTGATTGGAATATACTTTGTTTCTGTGCTTTGTGTTTTTCTTTTAGCATTTTTTTTTAAGACAAGAGTCTCACTCTTGTTGCCTTGGCTAGAGTGCCGTGGCATCAGCCTAGCTCACAGCAACCTCAAACTCCTGGGCTCAAGCAATCCTCCTGCCTCAGCCTCCCTAGTAGCTGGGACTACAGCGCCACCATGACCGCCTATTTTTTTCCATATATATTTAGTTGGCCAATTAATTTCTTTCTATTTTTAGTAGAGATGGAGTCTTGCTCTTGCTCAGGCTTGTCTCGAACTCCTGAGCTCAAATGATCCACGGCCTCGGCCTCCCAGAGTGCTATGATTACAGGCATGAGCCATATTCTGATGAGGAAAACTTTTTTCATCCCAACTTTTAACCCATAGTCTCTTCCGTGTATGGCTCAAGCCCCTCATCAGTGCAGGTGAGATCCAGGGCAGCGTCCAGCAGCCCAGTTAAGGGGAGTGGTTCCCTGGAGGGGTCACAGGGAGGAGCACAGACGAGTTTCACGGGATTCTGTTCCTGCAGGGCTAGTCGGCCAGGCCTGGCGCCATGTTTCCATTCAGCAATGCACTAAGCTCGGACTGTGTGCAGAGCTCTCCCAGCTCTTCTCCCACTCCCATGGCTCCGCCCACCTTGTAGGTGCACACCTGGGCAGGTGAATGGAACACCTGAGGCCTGTCCAGCCTCTGCCCTGAGCCACCTGACTCTGGGTCCTGGGCCACATAGAACCCAGCCCACTGCTGCCCACCAAGCGGCCACCCCTCTATGACCCACACGTCTCCAGGCGCTGTGGGCCTGCTCATGCCCTTGCCATGTCCTGTGCCTTGCCCTCCTTTCCCCGCTCTCTGCTGCCAGACACGGAGCCACCTGGGGGCTCCTGCATACAGCCGGGGACAGGAGCCTCCATGTCCTGGGCAGCATGCCCCAGACCCCACCTCTTGCCCCATCAATGCTGAGAGCCCTGCTGACACCGCTGTGCCCTCACTGTCCGTCACCCCCACCTTCGCCGCCTCCCTCTCATCTGAGCATGAGAGCCCTCTTTCCCTGCACTCCACCATGGGGGGTGACCTATGCTCTGCATCCAGCCCCCTGGACAAGGCCCAGGAGAAGGGGGCCACAGGAGGGCCCTGTGTGTCCAGATGCCTCAAGAGGGGTCTGCAGAGCCCAGCACACAGACCAGGCCACCGAGGCAGCTGCCACCAAGTCGCCAGTTCACTTTCTCACGGGCGCTTCAGTTTTACTAGCTATAATCATTCTTTGCTTATAGATCATAAAGTGAAGCCTTAATTTTGCCCAGTGGGCTGAGTCAACTCACCGCCTGAGTGTCCACAGAAGTGACAAAACCAGTGTCACGTGTATGGAAAGCATTTTCTGACAACTTTACACAGTGCACACTCGGCTGTCTGGCAGTTAGTTGACAGACGGAATCCGCATCCGAGACGAGGCTGCCAGGCACCACTGGCCCTGCATGAGAGGGACACTGGCACCAGTGCTTCCCCGGCTTCCTCAGGCTGAAGTGACGCTCACCCAGGGGCTTCTGCTCTGAGGGCTGCTCAGGGCTGCGCCGGGAGGTGGGAGGATGGACTCAGCATGGCGCTGGTGCTGTGAGCACGTGCCGCACTTCTCCGGGTAACCCCATCACGCTCTAGCTACCCTGAGAGGCACTCCTGTGGCCCTCTTGGCAGGCTCGACACTAAGGCAGACTGGAGGGCCCTATCCAAGGTCCCATGGCCAATCAGCCCTGGGGGCTTTCCCCAGCCTTGCCAGCACGTGGCGATGATGGCAGTCGCACCCCTCGGCTGCCGGGGGAACCTGAGGGCTGGGTGGTCCAGCTCACCCCTGGATGCCAGGACTGTGGAGACTGCCCTTGGGTCATAGCATCTGCACCTTCTCTCTCCAGGTGACGCCTTCTGGACCCCGTCTGTCCTTCCTCACAGCGCCCTCAGCGCCTTAAGCCATCCTCCCCAGCCACATTTTGGGAGAAAGATGGAGTCCAAGGTCTCGGAAGGCGGCCTAAACGTGACGCTGACGATCCGCCTGCTGATGCACGGAAAGGTACGGGGCCACCACCTGCGCTGTTGCTAGAGAGGTGGGAGGCAGAGCGGCTTCCCACGCCGGGGCCTGCGCTTGTGTACTTTTTATTTACTCGCAAATTTACAAGGTAGTTGCAAATGCAACCCCAATTACGTGTTCCCCATCACTGCTGGAGACTGAGTCACCATCCCGACACCCCATCGTCACTGGATGCCTTGTGTGCATTTTCTGCAAACAGGGCTTCTCCTGCGTGACCTCACGCAGCCACCAGTGGCAGGTCACCACGGGTACATCCCCACACCTGCCCCCGATAGGGCCTCCCCAGCCATCCAAGTGCTGCCCTGGGTCACAAAATGCCCCAGACAGCATTCCCGGTCCCTCAGTCTGGGGTAATCCCCCGGGGCTTGACTGTCCTGAGTTTCTGCCAGTGTTTCTGTGGCACGTCCTCCACTCTGGCCCTATCTGAAGTCTCCTTGCCGCGACAGGCGCATCACCACAGCCTCCTGTCCCAGGGGCACTCTGGGGGTCACCTGGAGCTGCCCTTCGTCCATTGCGCTTGGAACACTGGGGCGGGAGCTTTGCAGCTGTGTCTGTGTCCCACTGTCATCAGACTTTCAAGGCATTCATTCATTCATTCATTCATTCATTCATGCTGGGGCTGCTGTGACCTCCCCTGACCCCCCACTGTCCTGGCTGGCAAGCTCCCAAGGGCTTCCTCACGGCACCCTCTCCCCTTCCCAGGACACGCTGCTCGGGCCATCCTGTCCTCCCTGCCCCAGTCCTGGCATCAGCCACTCCTCCTAAGAACCCTGACTCCTTCAGGCAGAAAGCCAGGATGAGCGCATCAGGAGCGCTCTGAGCTCTGTGCAGCCCTAGGCAGCACTGAAGGCAGGTTCATGCTGTGCGCATTACGTGACATTTCCATACTGCACTCCCTGAGCACCGTGAGGTCACACCTCCAGTTCCCGTCCAGCAGCACAGGGTGGGCCCAATTCCTCCTGGCTGGGCTCTGACCCCCCACCCCACCCCGTGTCTGTGTGTGGCCTCCGCCCAGGGAGGCTGCCAATGCCCATAGCACAGGCACATCCTGCCCTTTAGAAGACACGGCCTCCTCCCAGAACTCCTGTGTCTCGATGGAGAGAGGACGACCTGCCCTCTCCCCTGTGGGTGCCGGAAGGTGGTGGGCCCCACAGACAGGTTATCTGTGCAGTCAGGCACAGGGTCCCAGCAGCTAGGCAGCCACCAGACACTCCCTGGGGGAGGATGCCCTGCTTTCGGGGTCTGTCTGCTCGCACTGCCCCCCCCACCCTTCTGGGGGTCTTGACAGAGACCAAGGCTTTCACAAGGACTGTGGTGGTAGTAATTGCTCAGAGCTTCGTTGTAATAAGGAAATGAGTCAGATTTTGAAAGATGTTTTTCCCTGTGACTATAGCCAGGCTAGCCCAGCCTCGAGTGACTGCCACAGTAGGACCCTGGCTGGTCCCGTCCCACTGCCAGGCAGGGAGACACTTGACCCTGTGGTATATATCCCCAAACTGTCTCAGGCTTGACTTTAGAACTAGAACTGTGGCAGTGTGTTCCAGTGTTTCTTTCAATATTCCACCTTTTAAGTAAGTCACAAAGCAATAGCAGTGCTAAATTTTCTTTAAGTCACAAAATTGGGAGAAATTTTATTTTTCATCTATTTCTTGCAGGGTTTCCTGGAGGCCTCATGTGCATGAGTTATGCCTCTTGAGCTCTCTCTCTGGAAAGCAGCCATTGTCCTGGGCAGCTTGTCCACCTCGGGTGCAGGGCCTCTTTGTAGATAGCCTGACTTGTAGGCTTCCCTCGGCAGGTTCTAAATTCTCCTCTCGCTCACATGGGGAAGGTAGATGGGTTTCATAGGGTCTTTCCCAGATTCTTTTCCTCCTTTTGCACTGACAGCATGTTTTTGTGATGTTTTTCCTGCAGGAAGTCGGAAGCATCATTGGGAAGGTAATTATTGAACAAACTCTGCCTCTCTCTGGGTCTCTGTAAGGGGACAGTGAGGACTGCTGCTGCCCTGTGCATGGTGGTGCCCAGTGGGTGCATGGCACTGCATCCATGAAGTCAGGGCCCAGGTGCTGCCACGCTGCCCTGTTGGGGCTCCTCGTGCAAGCTGGTATCCGGCTCTGTGGGAGCCAAGGTGGGGAAGGTCCTCTCCGGCCCACTGCCTTGGTGGCCAGCCCTCCTTCCTGGGCTCCAGACCCCAGGAAGGAACATGTCAACTGCGTGCTCCACTGGCCCTGTTACTGAGTGGCCCCACGAGTGATAGTGGAGGGCTTAGAGTTTCCCTAATGGGGTAAGGGCCAGTTTGGACACCTGTACCTGTGGGGAGGAGAGGCTGAGGGGGACACGCTGCCTCCCTGTCCTGTTGCACTGTGCCCATCCCTGGGGGTCCCTGTGCCCTGTTCCCTCCACCCCTGTACTGCAGGGAAGGGGCTCCCATGGCCCTGCCCCAGCCCTTTCTCACGAGAGCTTCAGAAGGTGCGTCTGGGGCTCAGGCGCCCGAGGGCACGCAGACAGTGACCTGAGTCGAGGCAGAGCCGCCCTGCTGGCCGTGTGCTCTGGCTGAGCACTCAGGTCCTGCACCTCCACTTCCTTACCTGGAATGCCTTCCAGGCTGTGGGGGCATGGAGTTGGCTGCTTAGTGGGGAGGTGGAGGCCATGTGGGTACATGGTGGCAGCTCCCGGCACCACTTGGGCCACGCCCAGCTCCGTGTGTGACGTCAGCGCAGCCACGAGTGACCTTGTCCTTGTTGTCTAAATCTTTATTCCAGAAAGGAGAGACAGTGAAGAAGATGCGTGAGGAGGTGAGTGTGGCCTGCCTGCCCCATGCCACGTGTGTGGCCCTCTGGGCCCAGCTTGGGCACAGCGGGTGTCAGCACAGGGCTGGCAGGAGCCTCCACACTATCGGGCTGCGTACTGGGCGGTTCAGACTTCCTGTGGATCCCTGTGCAGGGAGGGGATCACTAGGATTTTTTTTGCCAATTAAAATTTCACCTGTAAGGGAGGTTATTGGAAAGAATCTTACTGTCTAGTGGTGAGGTTTGCCAGTCAAGGGCAAAACGTGTGTGGCTATGTCAGCCGTGGTTGAGGCTCTAACCTGGCACGGGTTTCTCTGCTCTGGCTGCAGAGTGCCGCGAGGATCAACATCTCGGAGGGGAACTGCCCAGAGAGAATCGTGACCATCACGGGCCCCACAGACGCCATCTTCAAGGCTTTTGCCATGATCGCGTACAAGTTTGAGGAGGTGAGGCACCACCAGGTCCCTCCGCCCTGCATCAGCCCCACTCACCTCCTCTGCCCCCAGGGACTCCACCTCTCTGGTCCACCTGGGCAGGTCTGCGTCCCTCTCTGCATCTATAGCCAGCCACGCCCAGCAGGTGTACTGGAGAAGCCACCTTAATCTTGCTCCACAGACCCAGCCTAGGGCACCCAGCTCAGCCCAGGACACCTCACGCCTCCCACCAGGGCACACAGGGACCCTCAGGCAACACCCACACCGCCCATGTCCAGCCGACTCTGCCACACCACTCCCTACAAAGCCCTGGCTGGCACAGCCTGGTCCTCAGCTGCCAGCTGCACGCCACCACAACCAATGCCATCCCCGGACAGCATGTGTAGCTTGGCTGAGGCACAGATAGGTATGGCTGGAGACCCAGCCATGCACAGGCACATGCTGGCAGATGTGTGTGTGTGTGTGCACAACACTTCTGCGTCACTCTGTCAGTGAGTTAAATCTGAATGTTTTTATTTGTTTCCACTTTTTCAAAATTGCCAGAAGTTATTTAGAAATGCATTTCGTGTCCTAGAGGGGTGCGCATCAAGTGATGGGGTAGACTGTGGAGCAAGCAAAGCCTCCAGGCAGCAGCACGCAGGGGCCAGGTGTGGAGCTGCTGTGGGAGCGGCCACCCTGTGTCTGGCAGAGACTCCCGGCAGTTTGGGGGGGACTTCAGAGTGGGCAAAAGGGAAGGTCCAGTGTGCCCTGGGGGCCACAGGGGTGGAGGCTGCAGGCACCTGCTGCAAGGGGTGTCCTGTGACTGGCTGGGGGGGAGCATGTCCGGCTTTCTCTGCTTGGGCTGACTGGACAGTGGGAGTAGACGTTAGGGAAACTGCAGGCACCGGCCAAGCCCTGGTTGTTCTGGGCCAAGTGCTCCAGAGGCTGGGGTATGGCTTCCCAGCTGGTGATTGCAGAGGTTGGGACCATTGTCCTCTTGTCACAGGTGATCTGGCCTCTGTAGGTATGTTCAGTTTCTCATTTACCCCTTTTAGCCACTCTCTGACTTACAAGAGGTTGGCCAACTCACGAAAGGCCACAGACCCAGAGCTTCACCACTCAGAGATTGTTCACTTGTCTTCGTAGTCAGCTGTGCCATGAGATCTTGTCAGAGATTGTTTAGTTGTCTTCATGGTCAACTGTACTGTAAAAATCTTCTTGAACTTTTTGTTGTTATATCAACATGGCGATCATCTGATAAGAAAGTGGTGTAAGGACACACTTAAGACTCTGGTTAGAAGGCAGTGAGTCAGCATTGTGACCACTGTTACAAGAACAAGAACAATTAATAGTCCCAGTAAGGTGCTTTGAAACCAAAGCTCCTACTACCCAGGCCAAGAGAACAAATCACGTGGGCCAGGAAGGTCAGCCTCAGAGACTCGAATATCCTTCTCCTGAAGGTGGGAAAGGTCTGTTACTTCGATCCTGGTACCGTGGGAAACAGGTGCAGGGCACAGACGCAACCACGACTGGCCAGTGAGATGTGGGGAGCAGTGTAGGCATCTGTCGGCTGGCACCAGTGCGCGGGACTGGTCTGTCTTCTGTCTAGGGCAGAGGAGGTGCCACCGTTAGTGACAGACTCCTCACAATGTTTCCTGCTGGTGTGACTCGCACCAGTGGGCGTGCTGCCCGGTTATTCTCGTGGACAGCTTGGGAGCGATCCCTCGGTAGAGAACTGAATGAGCCAGGGTGGCCCCATTTTGCAACGTGAGTCTGAATCAGACTGTCCAGCCGTGGAGGTTGGTAGAATTAGGGTCTCTGCATACAGAGAAGTCTGTGAATACTGTTCCTAAAGTACGTGAGGCATTATTCTTGGAGAAGCAGGACCAGGCAACCTGACCCCAAAGGAGGTAGTGTCTGGCAGAGGCACATGGGGACCTCGTGACGTGAAGTTGGCACCCAGGCCTTACGTCAGCTGGTTACAGTTTGGATCTTTAGTCATCTCTTCCAGGAGGTAAGCATGTGGCCCCTGGTTCTGTGAAGGTTGTTGAATTTCAATTTAGAATCACCTGGGGCCTGATAAATAGACCATACTAATAGGTCATTTTCCTGGGAGGAAGGCGCTGCAGAGGCTCAGGTTGGTCTGTTTAGGGCTAGTTGTCCATGTAGATGAGGTGGAAACACCGTGGGCTGTGAGTCCCCAGGCCCTCATTTGGTGAAACCAGGACTGCGCAGAGCTTTCTGTCCTGGGGCTCAGGTGGTAGGTGATATATCCTGGGGTTGGTGGGGGTGAGAGCAGTGGCCACAGGGACAATCTAAGAATGGCATTAGCATGAGCGTGTTCTGACCTAATGGTGATCATACATGACAACTGGTCTGTGAAAAATGAGAGGGAGAAAGGTTATATGCAAGCAGGTAAAAAACAAAGCAGAAATTAGACAGGGGTCTTGGTGTGACACCTTAGGCATAAAGATGTCATCGCCCAAGGTCATCAGTCTGCCATGAAGGTCTCCGGCCAGCTGTTTCTGAAGAATGGCTGCTTCTAAAGGGTCTCTGAGACCCTCAGCTTAAGGTCCCCTATTGCAGTAGCTTTCTCATTGTGGGAACTCTGAATTGCTGCTCTAGCTGTGACACGTGAACCCGGGGACTGAGCCCCTGCAGTTTTGCTGCTGTAGGTGCTAGCAGCACCTAGCAAAGTCCCGCCCGTGCAAGTTGAGAGCAGCTCTGCCCTGGCGTCTTCCCACAGAGAGATTCTCCTGGGTGAAGATCCGAGGAGGATGTTTGGAAGACACTGCTGGCGATAGGTGGCACAGGGAGTCCCTTACAGTCACACACTGCCTCTGCCCGTGGCCTCAGGCTCCACCTTCCCATCACCAACCCATTGGGTGACAACCGAGGTGCCCCGAGATCAGGGACTGTATGGCCATAGGGCTATGGGAGCACCTTTGGCCAAGGGAGCTCAGGGGATTCCAAAAGTCTTGATATTTCAAGTTAAGGATGTTGTTGGTCCTTTCAGTTTTTCCAGAAGATTGTAGATGGTTGAGGACAGTATAGGTTTTGAGTAAGAGATGCCACTTAAACAGAGTTCTTTTATAATGGCTCTCAAAGTGTGTGCCTCGGTCATTTGGTGTAAAAGTTGGTGCGCTTCAGATTGGAAACACAAAATCAAGGGCTGTGGCTTTTAAGCAAGGATATGCTTCAGCCCTTCCTGGAAATCGACACACAATAACTAAAACAGATTTAAGAGCCAGGGTTAAAACCCATCTGAAGGTATTTGGAGGACCCATGAGGCTTTTCTCCTGGGCTGTGTCTCACCCTGATGGTGTTCCAGGGTTGTGTTGTTGACAGGTGACACGTGGCCTGGCCTGAAAATAACCTCCCCTCTCTGTGCACAGCTTCCCACCAGTGTTGATTTGAGATACTGACCAATTTGTTCCATGATGAGGAGTTTCAGGGATGGGCATAGCTAACATCTGTGTGAAATCATCTGGTGCCACCAACCGGCTATCTTGAGAGCCCCAGAGATCATACGAGTGAAGGATGCAGCCAGATTTTTTTTTCCATTCTCTCTTTTTAAAATCAGGAACTAAGTGATATTTTATAATGGCCTCTTTGCCTCCAGAAATGTTGCCTTTGTGGGTTTAGATGGAATCACAGCCTTGGCTGCAGCAGTTTGTTTGGCACAATGATCTGCTGGACATGTCCTTTCATTTCCCTGTCACCTCCCTCCACATCAGCCTCAGGCTATGTAATTGCTGCTGTGTGGAGATGGGGTTCCAGCAGAGGTGAGAACCCCCCTTTGTTCCAAAGTGTCCCAAAGCCCCACCCCCTGCACAGACCCCTGTGCCGCCTGACCTTTGGCTAGTGGACGGGCGTCAGTGCGTGTGGCAGGCTCCCTGTCCAGCTGGCTTCACTGCATGTGGAGGACTCTGTCCTGAAGGAGAGTGCAGTTGGTTACAGCACAGGCCGAGGCTGCCACACTGGGCATCACAAACCACAGACGTCCATTCTCTCCCAGTGCTGCAGGCGGGATGTCTGAGGTCAGGGAACGGCAGGGCTGGTTCCTCAGAGGCCTCTCTCCTTGGTGCGTAGATGGTGTCTCCTCCCTATGTCCTGGCAGGGTCGTTCCTCTGTGTGTGTCTGTGTCCTCAGCTCCTCTTCTTGTAAAGACACCAGTCAGACCACCCTAGTGGCCTCATTTGACCTTAATCACCTCTGCAAAGAGCCCATCTCTAAATACAGTCATGTTGGGGGTTTGGGGTTCAATGTCTGGATTCTGGGGGCAGGTCAGCCTATAACATGCGCCCTGCTGAGCAACCTCCTGTTCCAGGTTTGAGGAATAACACTGGCTTCCTAGCAGTCTGCTAAGGCTGAGAACAAGTCAGGGATTCTTCGCACAGGCCTCCTTGTTCTCTGGACAAGTAGGAAGTGTCAGAACCAAACCACCAGGGGAATTTAGGTCTTTTAAGTCTTGACTAAGGACCTAGGAACTGTGGGAGGGGGCTTCAGTGACCACCCCCCACATGACTGTCGTGGCGTAACGCTGTCCTGTACAGGTGGAGGCAGAGCAGCCACTCTGCTGGTCCAGAGGGGGTCAAAGGTCCATTCCAGGGAAGAGGCAACTTCGAGAGGGATTGGGACGAGAGGTGTACCCGTTAGGTGTTCCCAGGAAGTGTAGGTGGCTGCCGCAGGCCCGAAACACCCTTGGCGAGGCTCTGCTGTTGAGGAGGACAGGTGTAGGGACTCGGGCTGTCCTGAGCACACACTCCTGGAAGAGGAGGGATTTAGACTCTGGTGACCGTGTGTGGGATGTGGCGCTGCGCCTTGGTCTCTGCCCGCAGCCCAGCAGGAGGCCGCCTCTCCCCACCTGCCAGCCGACAGAGGACCAGAGAGGACACTCTCGGCATCGCAGTCAAGCTCCTGGCAGAAAAAGTGGGGACAAAGGAGAGCTCCATCCTGGTTTACTGGTCACAGCCACAGTGGTCCAAGTGGGTGCTGGCCTGTCAGCCCAGGCAAAGGCTCACGAGGTCTGCCAGGAATTCGCCTCCAGGGCAAGCGGCAGCCCACAGACAACAGAGCATGAGAGCAACACAAGACAGCAGAGGGGACAGAGGAAGGGCCTGATTCCTCCAACAATGCCAAGCAAATGGGAAACCATGACACAGCCAGGCACCAAGCTGAGAACAAGCAGCCGCAGAGCCCAGCACAGAGACCAGGGTCCAGACCAAGACAGCACATCCTCATGGGCTCCGGGAGCCACCACAGCGAGGCGTGGGGCCTGGGCTGGTGGCAGGCAGTGCAGACACTCCGGGTGGGCCCTGCGACAGGTATACCAGGCCACCGAAGAGAACAGGCTGTGCGCTCAGAGCTGGCCCGGCAAGCGGGCCAGGGCTTCTCAGGGCCTCCACTCAAGAGCCCAGGTGGAGGCTGCTGGAGAGGAGACGGGGGGCAGGCTCACTAGAAGTGAGGCATCCTGTGGGGTCAGTCTGAGGGGCACGTTTGGCTTTCGCTGGGTGGGCCTGAGTTGGAAGTGCAGATAAACACTAGGGAAGCTGCCGTCCTGGCCAAGCGCTGCAGAGGCTGGGCTGGAGCTCTCCTGTCCTGTGTGGCGCAGCCGCTGGATGAGTGCAAGTTCCGACTCTCGTGCACGGCCCCCACAGCTGCTGCCTCGGGCAGCAGGACCCAGCCCCTCTCGCCACTGCCAGGGTGCTCCTCAGTGACGCATGTTCCCTGGCACTGCAAGTCACAGGAGCCGGCCTCCGTCAGGTGTCCACGCGGTGCAGGGCAGCAGGGCCTCATCTCCTGGGATGTCCTTGCTCTAAGCCTGCTCTCAAAGCCCGTGGACCCCTGCTGTCCACCTAGCCCTCCTCTGGCCCCAGGCCAGTCTACCCTCCAGGGACACCACCCCAGCCCCTCTGTACCTCCGCCCGTCACTTTGGGGGTGAGCTGACGTGCCACTTTCTGTGAGCTTGACGTTGTTTCCATAAGGAAGGGCACGTCGGGGTGGGGGGGGAATGGTATTACCTAGACTGTGACGTGGAAAGGATGATGTACACAGCAGTGCAGGCTGTCTGTGGGGGCGCTGTCACACGTCACTGCTCACATGAAGCCCGTGGGGCCCTGCTCTGCCTCGGACTCTGGGCCTCTGTGGCCCCGGCTTCTCACAGCCCAAACGCCCCCACCTGCATGCCTGAGGTGCCTGAAGCCCAGCTTTGTCTCCTGAGTGACAGAACAAGAGCAAACTGGCTGCCCAAGCCAGCCTGGTGCAAGCTCACCCTGACTACCCCTGGGGGCCCACCACCTTGCTGAGTGAGTGACACACTCCCTGCCCCAGGATGGACACCCAGGAGCCATTTCCTACCCACCATACCCTGCACCCCGAGATACTGGCCTATCTTCAACAATTCTGCCTCAACTGGCGCTGGGGCAGACACCCCCAGCTGGCACCCTCCCTCCTGCTCCCCTTTCGTCGGGCCAGCATTCAAACTTCTGTGTGTCAACCCATCTGCACACTGCACCTGCCAACCAGGTCTTTAGGACCAAGAACGAACCCCAGAATCAGGCTGACCATGATGGCCTGAGTCACTCTTGCCAGCACCTCCCATCCATTTGGAAAACATCTCCTGGTGCTGTCTCATCATGACGTGGCCTGTCCGCTGTGTCCTTCTCTATGCATGAAAGGGGCCCTAGAGCTCTCAGATATGGTGCAGGCCCTGGGTAGGGGACAGAGATGTGGGCCCTGGGCAGGGGACAGAGATGTGGGCCCTGGGCAGGGGACAGAGATGTGGGCCCTGGGCAGGGGACAGAGATGTGGGCCCTGGGCAGGGGACAGAGATGTGAGACCTGGGCAGGGGACAGAGATATGACTCTAGGTCTGTCTGAGGTGAGGTGTGCCCTGGGCAGGTGACAGAGATGTGGTTCTGGAGCTGTCTGAGCTGGGGTGGGCCCTGGGTGAGGACAGAGTCCATATACCCGCTCACCCAATGCGTTCTTGTCTCAGGTCTTTGCTCACTTAGGAGCAGAGGCACGATGTTTCTGCCAACATGATGTCTGTCTGCCTCCCCAGGACATCATCAACTCCATGAGCAACAGCCCTGCCACCAGCAAGCCCCCGGTGACACTGCGGCTGGTGGTGCCTGCGAGCCAGTGCGGGTCCCTGATCGGCAAAGGTGGCTCCAAGATCAAGGAGATCAGGGAGGTAACAGGACCTTCCTCTGGGGCGGGGCCTGTGGGGCTTGGGATGCTGGGCGGGCCAGGCAGTCTCAGGCCGCATCCCCCATGCTGCCTGCGGCCAGCACCAGCACTGCAGGTGTCCAGGCCGGGAGCCCAGGTTAGGGGTCATCCTTCTGGCAAGCAGGACTCACAGAGCCCCTGTTGCCTCATGCTATGGAGGGGCCGCATGGGGTAGCAGCTGGGGTGGGCCCCGTCATGCTCTTGGGACCCGTGAGGCCTCCCCACATGGGCTGCCGTCTGCTCCCGCAAGGGCTGCCTCAACCGCATCCACCCCATCTCCTGGGACAGCCTGCATGCACCACAGGCTGTCCTGCTGGGTGGCGTTTGGAGGAGGCATGGGCTTTACATTTCCACACAGAAAGCCTAAATCCTTACGTTACCCAGAAAGAGGCAGCCCCCCAATCGTGGTTCCTCCCCCAGGACTAGAACCCACCTTTCTCTGTGACCCGAAACACTGCAGAGGAGACAGAATTCTGTGTATTTGCACAGAGCAGTGTCCCGAGGCAGACACCCTCTTCGGGTTAGATTCCTCCTGCCCAGCGTTGCTGGGACTGATGAGCCCTGCCCAAGGTGCCATGCTGTGGTCCAGGCTGGCATGGCATGATGGGGACAGGGAGGGCAGGTGCTCAGGCTGACGCGGTTCTCCAAGGCGCCGTGGCTGCCCCCCTGGGAACTGGGAGGTGCCGCCTGTCTCACCACACTGTCAGCCCTTCCAACGCCCTGTGTCTCCAGTCTACAGGTGCCCAGGTCCAGGTGGCCGGGGACATGCTGCCCAACTCCACGGAGCGGGCGGTGACCATCTCGGGGACCCCGGACGCCATCATCCAGTGTGTCAAGCAGATCTGTGTGGTCATGCTGGAGGTACAGTCTGTGGGTGTGGCTGGCACGCATCAGCGCAGGCGCACTCAGCGCCATGCGGCTTGCTTACCGTGTCAGGAAAGGCATAGGTGCCTTGGTTGTCCTGAGGATTCACGGTCAGGGCTGTGTGGGGGCCGGATCAGGAGCCTGGCGGTACAGGCGGCTAGAGTGAGAGCCTAGCCAGCATGGGGTGCTGTGGAGGACTGGCTGCTGGCGGCTGCCACAGAGCCATAAACGTGAGCTCGCTGGGTCCAGTGTCCTCGCTGTGGAGCCTGAGCAGAGGGCACGTGGAGCGGTGAGCCTCTCCCCTCAGTTTTGGAAAGGGACAAGAGATGATTAATCTTGTCAAAAGGCGTTTTCTGGACAGAGGTGGAGCCTCACACGTGATGCCGTGTGCAGTGGGGAGAAGTCCTGTTGGGGTGCGGGGTGGGGGTAGGGGCTGTGTGCTCTTGCGGGCTCTCTGTGGGGGAGGCTCCTGCCGCGCACCGTCTGTAGATGGCATTGTCACACCGCCTGGGAGGTACGAAGGGTGGAACCTAGGGAAAACTTATGAAAATGTCCAATATGTAAAAATGGAGATAAATGAGCAAAAAGATTAAAACAGAGATGCAAAGAAGGTGCCACTGGGCAGGAAAAGCCTGTCTTGAAATTTTGGGGGAAAGAAAAGAACCCTGAAATTGGAATTTCTGTCAATATCCCAAATTCATGAAGCTGTCCATAGTTGCTGGTCTCTCCTGAAACTAAAATGAAGTAGTTCTGCCTCAGACAGAAGGTTCCAGCAGCTCTGCTGTGTTCTCTGCCTCCGAGGCCACTGTCCCTCCTCGTTCTCTTGCACTGGGCTTGGTGCTCAAACCCCTTTTCAACTCTAAAATTTTTTGCAGTTTTTGTTTTCCTGAAGTATGATGTTTTGTGAAGTCAAAAATACCTTTCAAAATTGTCTTGTTCTGAAACCTTACCCACGCTGTGGTCAGGAGACAGCACGGTGCTCCTCCGAGCTCTCTGCCCACTCTGGGACCCCGGGCCGCTGCGCTGGGGCGGAGGCCCTACCATGCCAGCGGGGTGGGTAGCGCACTCCCTTCTGCCTGGCAGCAGCAGGCACGCTCCGCTCGGTGGTTAGTGACATGACCAGCTCTGCGAGGGATACGGTCTGCGGTGTCCCTTGACTGGAGTGAGGCGGCTTCTCGGGGCAAAGCCTGTGGGCTCGTCAGTGCCCAGGGCTGCTGTTGGAACTTCCTCTTCTCGCTGTGATGGCGAGGTTGCCGTGAGACGTGCGGCAGGTCGGCCTGGCCAGTGCTGCGCTGCCCTCAGAGCCCGGGAGGCCCTGCTCACCAGGGAAGGAAGATCCGCCACACCTGGAAACAGCTCCATTTTTAAATGAAGAGTAACTGGAAAAATAAAGCAACAAATGCTTTAAAAACTCTCCCCCTTGATCAGAGGACTTTGGGGCTGGGTTTACAGGGTGTGGCTCAGCCTTATCCCACGAAATTATGGAAGAAAGCGGTGTCCATGGCACAGATGAGTCTGGGTGGGGCTTGCGGAAAACACACATGTCACCACAGACGGCCGCCCTGCCTGACACAGGAGACCCTCCCAGGGCCAGTTCCTAGTGCAGAGTGGCCCGTGAAGCCCCAGGGAGAGATGGGGCCCCTGCCCACGGGACATCGGGGTAGAACAGGAGCCAGGACCCACAGCCAGAGTCGGCCCAGGAGCCGAGTTGGGTCTCCCGGAGCCCAGTGTCTGGGAGGCTGCAGTTGATCGGCAGCTAGTATGAGGACAATGTCACCTCATGGCCACTCAGTTTGGTCACGCTATTTCTACGACAGGCCCTGAGCCACCGTGAACCCGTTTGCCAGGAGGCATCTTAACTGCAGAAATCCTGAACACGGCCCCCTGGGAGCCGGTGTCACGCCAGACCCAGCCTGTGTCAGCTCAGAACTGCTCAGTAGCCCCTCCCCTACTCAGGGCAAGGCCACAGTGTGTGGCCACAGAGTCTTAGCCTGCCCTCAACACTGCACGTTTGCATGTGGGCAGTACCTGTGGCCTCAGGACTCTTCGGAGGGACAAGCTACCCTGCAGGCCCACCTCACAGCCCCGCTTCCCTCTGCAGCTCCAGCTGGGCTCCCCAGGCCAGGACCCCCGACTCCCTGTACGCAGCTGGCCCTGGACGACAGCCACACAGGGACCAGGGAAGGGCCAGTCCTGAGAACATGAATCCTGTACTTTGGATGTAGAATAACTGAGGGAAAGTACAGCAAACCTCCTCATGACTACAGGACGTTTCCTTTGGAGTCTAAGTCTAAATTGTGAAATTGGATGTTTCTAAGTTTCCCGTGACAATCTCTCCTGACTCACCACAGGCCAAGCGAAGCCCTTGGGCACTGGGCACGCACAGGAGTTGTGTGCAAGGCTGGCTTTTCCTGAGGGACTCAAGTTTCTCTGTCCTGCCAGCGAAGCGGGAGTGGCCCAGCCTTGCGGGGGACCTGCAGAGAGGAAGGGGCTTACCTGGCAGCAGCCAGCACTTCCATAGAAGGGTCCTGCGTGCGCACGACCCCCCATGCACCTCTCTCCACAGGACTGACCCCCAGGACCCCACGCTGCCTGGAGCTCTGCGTCCTGCCAGGACAGTCCAGGGGCATGTTTAGGGCGGGTGGTTGCTCACAGGAGGGTCACCCAGGGGCTGGGTGAGGAGCCCGTCTGACGAGGACAGGCAGTGCAGACGTGGGAGTCCACCCCACCTGGTGCTGCTGCCACCTCTGGGGCTCTGGGTGGTGGGGGCTGGGGAAGGGCCTCCCCACTGTGCTGTGGAGCTGCTCTAACGCTCTCTCTCCCTCTCCTGTCCCTTTTCCTAGTCCCCACCGAAAGGTGCCACCATTCCCTACCGCCCAAAGCCCGCCTCCACCCCTGTCATTTTTGCAGGTGGTCAGGTAAGAGCCGACCCGCTCGCGGCCTCCACTGCCAACCTCAGCCTTTTACTGCAGCACCCGCCGCTGCCCGTTAGTGCACTCAGGTTTTCTCGCCTTCTCACGTGCACGTCTCCCCCGCGCTGGACACAGAGCTTTCCCGTCCACACCCGGCCCCGGGCAGGACAGGGACCCCGTGGACTCGCCTTTTCCCAGGGGCTCTGTGGCCCAGCAGGAGGGACCCTGGGGCCAGGCTTGCATCCAAGTCTGCCCAGAGGACACTAGTTCTTGGGTGATTTTAGGAAGCTTGTAGTTGGAGGGCAGGCACATCCCCTGTTGGAGGCAACTAGGACTGTGAGAATTGGGGTCCTGTTTCTGCTGCAATGCTCGACCCGAAACCCCGGAGCATTCCTGGTGCGACTCAAGAGAAGGAAAGGTGGCTGGCGAGTCAGGGTCCGCCCCGCTGTGGCCAGGACCTATTCCCCTGCATGCAGGCAGGCCCGGTCCTTTCTATTCTCGGTCTCTGACCTCTGTCCTCCCCTGCCAGGGACAGCGGTGCCAGCCTGGCAGAGCCTCGGGGGGAGTAGAGGCAGAGACCCTGACCCAGCTCCCTCTCTCATGCCCCTGGGTCACTGTGGCATCCACAGCCCATGGACTTTGAAACTGTCAGCCAGGGGGTGGCCTGGATGAGCTCTGTGTCCAGTCGGCCGCGATGTGTGTATTTGCTCAAGGGAGAGTTGAGACTCAGACTGTCCCGTGGGTGACCCCAGCCAGGAGAGGATGGCCTGAGGTGTTACTTTGTCATTTAAAAAGAAAGAAAAAGGCAAATACAACTTTTCTCATGTTTTTAATGATGTAAGGGAATCTTATCAGATCTGCACTAGGCAGCATCGGCGGTGTGTCCACCGAGAGGGGCACGACGCCTTGCACGCGGCCTGAGTGGGTCAGAGCAGGCCTAGTCCGCCACTCCAGCCGCACGTCCCCCCAGCCCGCCTCGTGCCCAGGTCTCTCCTGCCCTGCCAAGGAGCTCTCACATGCACAGCCTGTCCTCACAGCCGCCCTGGGTTCGGCCCCCTCACAGGTCAGAGAGAGACAGGGACAGGGGCCACCCTTGGGCCTCACTGACCAGGGACATGGGGCCACAGGTCCCAAGCAGGGAGTCCTGGCTCAGAACTCTGTCTCATGGCCTCCCCCAAAGTTCATGGCTGGTTAGCAGGTTGGTAGCCTGTGTGGACTCCACCCTGATGTTGAAACAAACCAAAGTGATATCAGTGGTAAAATGTATATTTTTATTCAAAAGGAAGGCATATTCATACGATCAAATGTGCAGTCTGTAAAACCACATGGTTGGGGTCACAGGTCCAGCTCCAGGGGCAGGGCCATGACAAGATGGCTCTGGCCAGTGCCTGGGCCCCAGCTGGGCTCCCCTCTCTACCCCCAGAGTGGGCGCAGCATGCGCCTCTCCGCTTACCACAGCTAAGGGTTGCTAAGCGATGGGTGCTGGGCCTGAGGCTGCTGCTAAGATGGCAGCCTTTCTAGAGCCCAGCCCCACTGCCTTGGGACAGTCTGCCTGGCCAGGGCTTAGCCTGGGTGGTGGACAGGGGACAGCAGCACCTGGGAGCCACACCGGACTTTGCCAGGGTAGACAAAGCACAGTGCAGGGTGGTAGCTGAGAATCGGCCCCAGCTGCTACTGCCAGACTGGTCAGGGTGAGAACATGCCCGACACTGTGGGCGCCCCAGAGCTTCTGGCAGGGCAGGGTCAGCGATAGCGGTTCAGTCAGGCAGAGCCTGCTAAGGAGTGAGCAGACACAAAACATCACCACATGACGTGAATAAAAAGAGAAATCAGAAAGTTAAAGTGGTCTAGCACAGAGAACTCCTTGTGCCCTAGAGTTCAGCCAGACGTGTGGGGACTGAGAGGACAGCAGCCCCGAGTGTCACAGCCCCAGGGCCTCACGTTCAGTGACAAGTTAAACCTGAACAGGGCTCTCCACAGCCTTCTTGCAGGCGGCAAGCTCCCAGCTCTCCATGTCCAAGGCGCTGCTATATCTGATAAGATGCTTTTACTTCCCAGGCCAGGCCTCCCTCTGCTGGGGTCGGGTCTGCTTGAACCTGGGCTGCAACCAGGTCCCTGTCAGGGGGTCAGGTGGCCTTTAACTTCCAGGTTGAGTTGTTTATGACAAAAAGTCTTGGCAGATTCAAAACCTGTGGGAGGGTTTGGGGTCCAGAGAAGTGACACATGGCCTGCCCTGAGGTATCCCTCTGGGGTGTGTGGGGACCCACATGGGGACACAGTGGGTGCCTCGGGTCCCACAGAAAGTGGCGTGGGGCCATATGTGGCCAGGGGCTGGAGGCCACATCCCTCGACACCCGTGCCACCACCAGGCCTAGCATGGCAGCTTCCATGTCGCCAAGTCCTGACAGCTTGTCTGTGGTCTTTACTCTCCCTTGACTCCGTGTGGTTCATTGGTTGGCCACGAATTTGAGTCACTGAGGCATCTCAGCAATGGGCCATCGAGGCAGGCGGGGCCACCCTACCCTCCAGGGTGCAGAGCGTAGAGGAAGAGGCTACAGGTGGGTGGAGCCACTGTTCAAAGGCAAAGGAAACAATGGAACCCCACCTGAGCCCTCTGGGGGTGCCCTGAGCTGTCCCGAGTCACAGCAGCCACCCTGCCCCAGGCGCTGCCCACTGGAGATTTCGTGTGAGAGGTGATGAGTTGGGTCAATCCTGAGGTGGATTTAGATCTATTTCCTGCTCAATCTGGCATTTGCAACATGGGTTTTGGGTCATCTTTTAAAGTTTTCTGTCTTTGTTTGGGTTTCTTGGGGTAAATATTTCCCAAAAATATTTACTCAGATGGTTGATTAAATTTCTGAAAGGTTAATAATTAGTGGACCTCTTACTTGGAGGTCAGATCATTCTTAATTCTTAGATGTTTTGCTTTCAAGAAGTGCAGGGCAGTGAGAGTGTGAAGTGCCGAGGTTGTGTCATCCCTGCCCCTGCCTGGGCCGTGGGTCCCATGACTATCCCTGGGGGTCCATGGCTATCCCTGGAGGGCTGGCCCTCGGCCCACAAGTGGGGCAGTTGGAGATGCAGGGAGGGCAGCCGGCAGGAAAGGGCCACGGCGCTGGGCGGTGGGCTGATGCGTGTCTCTCTCTCTGCAGGCCTACACCATCCAGGGACAGTACGCCATCCCCCACCCGGATGTGAGTGTGCACTGTGTCTCCCCTTCACCCGACTTTCTTGTTATCACCCACCTCCCTGCATGCTGCTATTCATTGCTACCAACATTAATATTACACAATAATATTAATCCGTTCTCAGTGTTCCTGACCTGTGTCGTATCCATATGACCTGGAATAACCTTATAACCTCTTAGCACTAACTCTGCTTGTGTTGAGGACTTGGCCTGATGTCAAATTGTTTCTATTGTTTGCTGTGGTCCAGGGCTGGCCTCCCACTCGAGGCCCAGATGGTAACTATAGAACAGCTCCTGACCCATGCAGGAGCCACGTGACAGGGTGGCAAGGGTGCGTGTCCACCCTCCATGGACAGAGTCTGGCATGGTGCTGATGTGTACCCACGAAGCCAGTGATGGTATCAAAAGGTGTTTAGAGTTAACTTGGGAAGGACACGTAAGTGCCTGGTGAAGCCAAACGCTCCCCTTTAAAAGCCCAGTTGACACATGGGGTCCATCTGTGCACAGAGAGCACAACTGTCGAAAGCACATGGGACAGGCGTTGTTTCTATCCCAGAGCTAGGGAGAGGCCTTGAGGGGCTGGGTGTGCCTCAGACATCCTCCCCTTGAAGGCGTCACTGTCCGGATGCAGCCTCAGTGCAGGGGATAGAGACTCCCTGAAATGACTTTGAGGATCAAAATCCTAGGTGCCTCTGGGCCCACATCCAGCCCCTCCATGCGGAGGCCTGTGGCCTCAGCGCTCTAGGCCAAGGGGCCAAGAGATAAAGGGCTGTTCCTGAGAGGGTTTGGGGTCTGTACTGGTCGGTGTTGGGAAGACAGGCAGGAGGAAATGGGGGAGAGACAGAGATGCATGCCTGGAAGCCACCGAGTGCTGCGGCAGGGGGAGCAAACCTGGCGTTGGTTCTGGGGGCTGTTTGCCTTCTCTAAGCCATTAGGAGTGTTCACCCCGCTCAGCAGCTGCTCCTCATGATGCATTTCTGTGTGCTGCTCTGTGGCCATGAGAGGCGCCTCTGTACCAGACAGGCAGTGGCACGGGCCAACCTGCGTGCTCCAGGGTCTTCTGCAAACCCTCGTGCTTATGGTTGAGCAGGAAAGAGATGTTCATCTGAATAAGATGTGAAGACAGGTCAGGGGAGGGTTTTAAAAATTAACTAACATTGAATAAGTATTTGAAATATAGAGATTCAGTTCACCACCACTGCAGGAAAATTTCTATTGAGCTGAAAACAAATACCGATGGTTTTTATTTCTTCAAAAAAATTCTCATAAAACAACACATGAATCAAATGATAGGGAAACATTGATAAAGAAACGTCCTTCTCCACCTGCCCCCAGAGGCTGTGTTTGACATTTCTTGGGTTTGATCCTGTGGTGACTCTGCCGTGCTCTAATCAGCAGCATCTCATCCTCGGGTGATCAACTGTAGACACAGTTGCCTGTCCCCACATAAGAAGTCCAGGCTGTGGCCACCTCACAGCCCCACGTGCCCCCGACCAGAGCATGCTGTTAGGGCTTCACTCAGTCTGAGCCTAGCTGATGGTGTTAGGCGTGTGTGTGCGTTCAGGGCACTGTGCGTGGGAGGACGTGATGCCTTCCAATAGAACATCCTGAGTGAGAGAAAATCAAAACGGAAGCCGAGTGGGGTCTGAGGCCCAGTTTCCGGAGTGGCACAATCTTCATTCAGTGCTGGGTGCAGGGCAGCTGTGCACATGTAGAGATGCATGTGCGTGTGCAAAAGCAGGTTTGAAAGCCTGGTCACTTGGGTTTTGTGAAGCTCTGGAACGCAAAGGAAATGCAGTGTCTGGCATCCTTGGCAAAGGGTAGTGTGACTGCCTGGGCTGATGTTTATCTTTACCCCAGACAATAGTTCTAAAGTAAGATGTTTGAAACCGCAGGGATCCTTTTGTGAGCATCCATGGGTTGCCTATGCTTCTGTGGCCAAGGGGCCTGAAGCTCCCACTGAAGCCTTTGCGGAGTGGACAGTGGAGTCGCAGACATGTGGTCTGTGGTCTGAAAGCCCCAAGGCTGTGTGTGTGTGTGTGTGTGTGTGAGAGAGAGAGAGAGAGAGAGAGAGAGAAGATTTTGATTGGTTGATTAATTTTTATATTACTTGGTTGTATATCTCTTTCCCACATAACTTTCTTAGTATCTCTTATAAACCAGTGTTTTACAGATTATTTGTTTCAGGTTGGTTTGAACTAATGTATAACTGTTATATAATTGCCTCCTTGCATATGGTTGAGATTTAAAATACTTAGAATGTTTGTGTCCTTCTAAAATTCACATGCTGGAACCTAGTCCCAAGGTGAAGTGTGAGGAGGTAGGGTGTCTGGGGGTGGCCATGCATGGTCTCAGTGCCCTCAGGAAAAGGGCTTGCTGGGCCACGCACCCTGCACCCTACTACCACACAAGGACACGGTGCTCATAGCGCCTCTGGGAAGTAAAGACCCGGCCTTCCCAGGACCAAAACTCCTGGCACTTTGATCTCAGACTTCCAGGCTCCATAACTGGGAGCAATTAACTTATGCTGTTTACAAATTACCTCCTCTAAGGTATTTTGTCATAGCGGCAGGCATGACCCAGGCCACATGGTTGTTTATAATGAATTGGCTTTCTGTGAAGACATGCTGTTTTCTCTGTCAGTACCATGTGGCTGGTGAGCAGCCGTCAGCAATGGAAGGGTGGAAGCTTCTGTGAGGGCTTTTCTAGCAGGCACATAAGACTGAAGACTTGGCCAATCACTTAGGTGATCCATTGAAAACAGAAATAAAACACTGTTTTGGGACGCAGGTGATAGTGGCCTGGAAGGAAATTTCTATCTGAGCTTAGTGTTTAGTAGGAGTTTTTAAAGCTTCAATTTCTTAGAACGCAAATATAACAATTATAAAAAATATTTTTTTATAATGTAATTGAATACAAAGTTCATTTCAACCGGAGTGACTGACATGTATACTGTAACCACCTCTCAGCTTGACCTCTTACCGGACTTGTGAGCCTAATCGGACACGTGGATGGTAAGAAAATGTATTCTTTAGATCTACGTATTTATTTGTCTAAAACTGAAGTGTGCACATTTTTCTGTGCCCAACTTTAAAGAGTGTTTCTAGTTCATTTCTGTTTGATCACCACTGGCACCACCAGTTCCCCCAGTCTCCCGCTTCGCCGTCCTTGCTCTCCCCAGAGCCTCCCGGAAGCTCACGGTGCTCGGAGAGCCCAGGTGCATGGAGGAGGCACCACACCCCACCCTGCAGCAGGGGGACGCTGGAGGAATGGATGGACGTGTCGGGTCATCTTCAGTCGAGTCTGCTCGAGCTCTCCATGCAGCCATCCATCAGCTGGGGAAATTGTCCCCGCACCTTCACGTGTCCTGCCAGTGTCAGGTCACCGCAGTCTCGGAACTGAGAAAGAAACAACAGCAAACATGGGGATGCGCTGGAAGAGCCGGACGACACAGTGAGGATCCGACAGATGGCTCAGTTCTCTCCTCTAGCATTGCTATTCCTGTGGTCACGGTGGGACAGTGACACCAGGAAGGAATTGCTCTATCCTGGAAGAAAGCAGTGAACCTGAAAAATACTCTTCTTCTTGGGAATCTTTATTTCTAGTCCACAGAGTTTGCCTTTCTTAGGCAACATCCTGTCATGTAAAGGGGTGCAGAGAGCAGGAAGAGAGAAAATCACGCTGGCACTGATGGAGAACGTGCCACACCACCCAGCTGAGCAGCCTCGGGCTGGCATCCCACTGTGCAGACGTCGGGGACCAGGCCAAGGCTGAGCCAGGGAGTGGGACGAGGCCGCCCTCCTCTGTTGCCCAGCCCTGGTGTTAGGTTGTGCTGGGAGCGAAATGGTCACCAGTGTCTGCTGAGAAGTTTGTTCTTTAGTGAATAAATCGTGGGGAAATTATATGAGTGCATGTCACAATGACAGAAATCGTATGGAAAGTGTCCCTTCATCCTATTTGTGCAACCACAGGGACCCTGTGGCTGTTGCACTTTTCTCTGTGGACACGTGAGGAGCAAATATAAGCTCTGTGGTCGTCGCACACGTTTGCAGAGATTGGGGCAGATGGTGGTGGGCGCCTTCCTCTCCCACTCTTCAGAGTCACCCTGCAGAATGCTTGAGGAGGGTGTATGAGATGCCACTCTTGGTGGTTGGTGATGACATGGAAAGAGGAGCTGGAACCACGGCCCCCGGCTACCCGTGGATGCGCCCAGCCGCCCGTGCTTCCCAAGCTCCTGCCCTGGGAGTGGTGGCAGCGCGGGCAAGGCTTGCTGCCTGTCGCAGAGCAGGACTGCTGCAGTTGCTCCTCAGCCCTGGCCGTGGGCTTGGGGTAAAACTTTCTCTTCTCTGGACCCCTCCCCTCGGGTCAGACACACAGAGCCGCTCCCTCCAGCCCTCACGTGCCTGGCCGCCCAGCCTACCCTGCTCAGACTCGCACTCTGCATTGTTCAGGAGCCCTTGGCGACGTGTTTGCACCTGCGAGTCTGAGAAACACCGACATGGGGCAGAGAGGGAGCAGTGTGCATGCAGTCAGAGCCCTGGGAGGAGAACACAGAACGGAAATTCCAAGAGATACACCCAGAGGATTTTCCAAAGTTAGTAAGAGAAACCAATCTTCCCATTCAGAAATCCCAGCAGGATAAACCTAGAGGAATCTGTCTCAGACATAGCAAAATAGAATTTCCCAACCCCAGAGTCCAGAATCAGACCCAGACATGCTCAGACAGAGAGCAACTGTGACAGGGGACAGCAGTGAGGAACCTGGTTTATGCCTGGCCAGCAGCGAGGGAGCCAGAAGGTGACACACGGCAAAGAGCAGCTGTCAGCGTCAAGCCCTGTCCCGAGAGAGGGTGTTCCCAGAGCCCGAATGAGGCCGTGTTCAGACTCAAAGGCCAGACGGCCCACGTCAGCCGGCCTTTGGGAAAAGGAAGTGCCCCTGAGGAGGCTGGAGACGCAGGGAGCGGTGGTGCGTGACTGGATGGATGTGGCGGCGCTGAGTGGATAGAAG